TAGGTCCATCACAAGGGAATGGCACCTGGCTATCTCATATTATAAAAAAACAAAAAAATTACCACCTAACCGAAAATCTAATCCGTAAGGAAGTAGTTGGTAACGGTTTTAATATTTCGAGAAATCAGGGTTGTTTCAACTCACTTGTTTTCAAACTGCTATATTAAATGATTAAAATTAGTGACCTAATACGTCTCTTAATTCAATAGACTGCAGACTATAACTTTTATTAATTGTCAATATTTAAATTATACTCTCCATTATTAATTCAATAGACTGCAGACTATAACTTTTATTAATTGTCAATATTTAAATTATACTCTCTTATTGGATATAGTGTTGTTACTATCTATAATATATTTTTAATAAACCTCTTAAGTTCCTACTCATAGACCAAGTTTATATTCTACAGTGTATGTGCGCCTTTATGAAGTATAGAGCATAGACTGCGTAGTCTGTAGTAAAACATAGACTACGTAGTCTGTGATAAAGCATAGACACATAAGTTTATGATGATAAAATGTCTACAAAAAGATGGCGATTTGGGAATTCTGGTGACGACCGTTGTCCGAACTAGACGTTCAATAAAATATTAACTACTGTGTTGGCATTATTATTTCTGGACAACCTTACAATACTAATAGAATTGGAAAATATATGTTAATGTCATTTAAAGTAATAAGTAATAACCATATGCAAAAACCGGCTTATCCGTAAAATTGATCTGCTAAACGGTGAATTATTTAAAAGTCCTTTTATTTTTGCTTCCACTACGTAAATTATAAATCCAACAGTACCTAAAAATATTTTGTGCTGTGTTCGCATTTATGTTGGCGATACTGTGGTGGCGTGTCGGGAATAATAAATGTTGTATTAAGTCGGATAGCGGAAAAGGGTTTCTTTGATTAAAATATTATACGTCACACTCGAAATTTCTGTATTAGTTGAAACTCTGGAATGGCAGTTAGAATAATTTTAGATGTTTTAATTTAACAGAAAAATGTAACATTGCCTAAGACTAAAATTTGTTCGAAATATACCTAAAACTAATTTGATCAATTCAGTGTGGGTGTTGGAGTGTTTTAGCAGATTGAAAGAAATTGTTTCATGGCAACTTAAAGCATCGGGCAACATTGAATTGCAAGCCTTGACAAGTTCGGCTGTAATTCACTTCGAATATAAAAGAATTAACTGTTTTCATAAATAATAATTATATTGTTTTTGTCTATTCAGATATATAATATATGAACTTTATTAAATATTTTTTGATTTAGTTTTAATGTAACTATTGTTTCTATTATTATAATTGGCAGAGGACTGTTAAATAATTTTTAGGTCAATATTTGATTACAGGATGTTTAATTTCAATTTTTATACAGAAACATGTTCTGTGATTTTTTCAAAATCTGTGAAAAAAGTTCAGTAAAAAAAATTGATCTCGAATATAAATTCGTTAGCTAAATATTGCATTCATTTGCAAAAGTATAAATATACTTTTTAGCGTACTATGAAATTTGTTAATTAACAAATCATGCTAAGATACACTATTATTGTAGGTGCTACCTAATACCAACATTATCCATATGTTTTATATTAATAAATTATGCCAAAATTGTCCACGTATTTTGTAGTTTCGTGTAGATGAAAGAATTTTATAATCGATCCTGTAGCTTTGAAGCTCATTCAATGCAAAAAAACTAATTTATAGTAGGTACTTTATTTTAAGAAAATTATGCGTAAGAGAATATCAAATAAGTCGAGCATCGAATTAATTTTGTCAAAGATCACAATATTACAAATACTTGCAAAAAAGTACAATATTGTAACATATATGAATAAAAGCTTTTCATAAGTCACAAAGACTTTCGAATACTTCTTTGAACAATTTGAAGTTCTCTTCATTTTCTTATTATATTGCGGAAAGTAACCAAATATGACATAGTAATTTACTTTTTACAGCATTTTAATAAATTGGACGGATCTGTTATCTGATCGTAAATTTTCTGAAGGAATAATCCTATTAAGAATAATTTAAGAAAGAACTTAATATTCCAGGGATTATATTCCATATTCGGTTAATTTCCTCTATTTATTAATAAAAACAAAGTCTTTTCACTGCGCCTGTCTCTGTTCCAGTTTGAACAAATGTTTTAACTCTTGGACTGTACGCCGAACACCTTTTACAGTCAAAGTCAAGGTCAAAATAATCTTTATTCAAATAGACTTCTTAAAAGTACTTTTGAATCGTCCAACATTTTTTCCCTACCGCTTGTTCAGGACGCCTTTTGGCTGATAAGAAGAACGAGCAAGAAACTCACCAGCTCTAATAGGAGTAATGATATTTTCAAAAACCATGTCATAACCAGATCAATACATTATAAATAGAGTGAGAGAGAAAAAACTATGGTCATATAATGATTATAATAATAATAATGGAAGCAAGATAATTTTTGATATACAATGAGTTAAGAAGTAATCAACTATCCAGTTGCTAGATTATCTCAAGTCCAAGCATTCTTATCTGTTATATAATCGGATACCTTATTATAAGCTTTTTTAGTAGTAGATTTAAACTGCATGATATCTAATTGTTGTATTTTGCTTGGGACCTTATTTTAGAAGCGCACACAAAGACCCCTGAATGAGTTATTAGCTTATTGCAGTCTAGTGACAGGCACCGTTAATTTATTTTTATTTCTTTTATTAAAATTGTGTAGACCACTTTTTATAGAAAATAAACTAATACATATTTTTATTCATTATGTCTATTTTCTTAAATTAAACTAATTGGTCTTTTCTGAAGTACAAAAATCGTTTGTATGTCGGCAGCATTTTCCCACATTAAGATTCCGTACGACATCACACTTTGAAAGTAACTGAAGTATACTACTCTGGCAGTATCAACGTCAGTTAACCTACGTATCTTCATTACGGCATATGCTGCAGAGCTAAGTCTACTCGACAATTTATCAATATGTGGGGCCCACTGTAGTTTAGAATCTAATGTTATTCCTAAAAATACTGTGGTATCCACAAGGTCCATGTTCTTATCTTTTATATTAACATTTATATCTACTTTTTTAACATCAGGTAGTACAAATTTTAGGAATTTTGTTTTTCCTTCATTAAAGAGAAGATTATTTACATTAAACCAATGTTTTAGCGATTGATTAGCGATAGAATTGTTCAATACTTTAGCGATAGAATTGTTCAAATCGTCATTTAGAGGTAGCACTCTTTTAATTTTAAACAAAAGTGAAGTGTCATCCGCAAACAAAACTATTTCGTGATCATCCCTTACGAAATAAGACTAGTCATTTATGTAAATTACTAACAAGAAAGGGCCAACTATTGAGCCTTGCGGAACACCCATCTTAACTTTCAATCCAGGGGATCTTTTGCCATTTATATCAACCCTCTGTACTCTGTCAGGTAAGTATGAGACAGTACAATCCTAAGTGATATCTTTTAGTCCATAATAATGAGGTTTCCTAATCAATGTTTCATGAATAACACAATCAAATGCCTTAGATAGGTCGCAGAAAACACCTAACTCATCATGTGAATCTTCCCAGGCAATAAAATTTCTTGTATTAACTCGACACCAGCTTCGATTGTTGAGCGACCCCTTGTAAAACCAAATTGTTGCCGATTCATAAGGTTATTCTTGTAAAAGTATGTTTGTATTTGATCCTGTATGATTTTTTCAAAAATCTTACTAAATGTAGGTAGCACGGATACAGGTCTAAAGTTAGTAGGGTCAGATGTGCTACCCGATTTATGTAAAGGAACAATTTTGCTATATTTCTTGAGCTCAGGAAAAATACCATAATCAGTACATTCATTACATATATAAGCTGGGATTGGAGCTGTTGTTTCAATTACCGATTTAGAAACTTCAATGGAATTACCCCATAAATCAGCGGTTTTCTTTTTTTTTAGCTGATTAAAAGATTTTATTATATTTTAAGAATCAATGTGTTAAAACTTAAATGGCTATTACAATTATTTAAACTTGCCCTTTAAAATTGTGTAATTTTGTGTAATTGTGTAATTAAGACTGGAAATTCAGTAAATAAATTTTCAAATACTCTAGCAACTTCAATATCTGATGTTACTTTTTTATTATCAATGTTTAAATTAAAATTTATATTCCGGGATTTTTCTCTTCCAGTTTCAGTATTTATGATATTCCACGTCGTTTTAACTTTATCTTTACTATTTTTAATTTTTGTATTTAAATTATTACATTTGGCTAAACGACACACTTTTTTAAATAATTTAGAGTAATTTCGTACATATTCTTTGAAGTCCTCACTTGTGTTATAATTACGTTCATCAGTTTAGTTTATAGAGCCTTTTTCTGCTTTTGCAGAGTATCTGACTTATTGAATAAGTGATAAATAAAATCCGTTGTAGTGAAATAATTACATAATAAGTGTATCAAATACAATACAATTATATTGATTATGTTCTAATGTTATGTAAATTGTTGTAATTTTTAATGAGAATAAAAACCTTAAACAGTACAATCAAGTCAAGTTGCATTTGTGCAACACTGCCTTAGTTTTGTATGAACAAGGGTATAGTTTCATATTATCTGTGTTACAAGTTACGAAGCTTTCACCAGCGAACTAGAATATAGACATTCTATTCGTATGGCGCTGTATCGATATCGTATGCCACTAACTTGTTTAACTGTCTACAATAACCACACGATGAACCCCTTGTTTGTGCCAAGAGTAGTTCAGTAGTAGTTATGTAACTGTATTCAAGCTTTTGTCTAAACACTGGCCATTAATGTAACTATGTTAATACCTATACGTGCGACCATTATTACTTTAATGTTCAATTTAAAAAGTCATACGTCCATATATTATTATTTTCCATCGCATTGACATCGATTTACCAGGGTTTAATTTAATTAGTTTTTAACAATTGTTCTTTTATTTAAAAATGCAGTCTATGCTGTCATATGTGCTTTACTTTAAAATGTCAAGATGGATAAACATAGCAATAGGTACCTTAGATTGCTACGGAATATGTAAATTCAACACGATTTTGTATTTAATCCTCAACAGATGCAGGTTAAAAACAGATTTGAACAACAGATGTACTGTTGACGGATTTTTTTTACATAACTTAGAGTCTGACGATGCCAAAAATTAAATGTATGCTTGTACTTCTGTGCATAGTCCGGTTGCATCATCAATTATATCAGATTGATTTTAATATTATCATTAAACATAGTTTATATATTAACGAAACTTTTTCGAATCAATCATTCAAATAATGTGATAAAATGGCAGATGAATATGTATATTTTCATCAATCAGCAATTTGAAAGCTTCGGTCACTCAATATAATGACCAATTACTTTATTAAGGCACGTCACTACTTCATCTATTAATCTTATAGGCGTTGCGAATTATCGCAGCTACATAAAACTTGTTAATGAATATTTATGAAGAATTGCGTAGAATTATTTGATAGCTACTGGAGTCAATTTATCATTGCTGAATTACATCTTATGTCGAGTTCTCGGCTTAAATTAAGAATACTATATCATTGTCAATATTATTAAAAATAAATATTTAGTATTTATATTGAACCATGTATTATTCACCTTGATGCTGAATTTCAAGACCGTGCAATTTTTCTTCAAAGTTTTGTTGATTTTTTCATTTTGTTTTGTTGAAAAATTACTCGTAGGCAACTCAATTTTTTTATTACTATTAATTAATTAATACTGGTGACTTATTATTTCTTACTGTCATATCCTATTTTACGAAAAAATAACTCAGAATGGTAAAAAATACAGATTAAATAGCGATATAAACAAAGAGAAAGCTAGGTAGCGGAGAAATATACTAAACGAATGTTATTGCAGCTTTAAATGAGTCGTCTTATTGAATTTCAGATGACATAACGATTTAATAAGAAACTAACAGTTTAATTGAATGGTGTCGTTCAATAAATGGGCTAGCAATCCAATTGTTTCTATCGCGCTACCTAAATGTGACTTTAGAAACAAATAAAGACTTAAGTATCTGGTGATGTAGTAAGAACAGATTTGATTATACCAAAAATCAGTGATTTCTAACCTTTTGAAGAAATCACTATGCCTACATGATTGCCGGTATTTTCTTAACTTGTGACATCACTTTCCGACAGCATGCTATTCATTTATGAGTTCAGTAAATCACATTTAACGTATTACTTTATGATAGTCAACTATTCCAAATGAAAAAAGTACGACGTACATATGTATTCAAGTAACTATATTCGAATGACAATGTTGTTTGTTATATTAAATTAATATCTAGTTATCTTAAAAAATTCGCAATCCAGTCGACGTCTATTACCGATCAAGCATTTTGCATTAATAATGCTGTTTTTATTTATCTAAATGAAAATAAAAAATTAAATATTGTTTGTTTCAGAACTCGGACAGGCGTGGTAGGAGTGCTGGTTCGTGTGGGGCGACCTCTCCTGTGACTAGCCAGGGCTCTTGCCAACGGCACGGGTGGCGGATTGTAAGTAAATATACAAAACTAGCTGTTGCCCGCTACTTCGTCCGCGTGGTTATAAAGACAAATTATGTATTTTTACAAACTCCCATCTTAGTTATCATCTACGTGCTAAAAATTACCCTAATGCAAAATTTGAAACTTCTAACTAGGTAGAAAAGTTCATTTTCTACATGGAACCAAGCGAGAAACGAACGCAGGTCCTCAAAGATGGCTCGCCAGTTTTTAAGGCTTCTGATATAACCTACCTTCTCGTGCCTAAATGTAATTAACGTTTAAATTAAGTACTGCTTGATTATGTACAATGTTTGAAATAATAATTACTATTAGCGTATAAGAAATATGGGTCATCCGCAATCCGTTAATTCATAGCGAACACCCAAAAGTATTTTGTGTATGTACTCTATAAGCTTTAAATTTGCATAATTTATATCGGTTACTTCTCGAAATTGAGGTTAATCTTCTTCCTTTAGGTCACTTGGTCTCACCAATGCTCTTTTTCTCAGCTTTACCGATTTCGTGATTTTGTTTTTAACCGCTGTTCCAGTTGTAAAATTAAAATACTTTTATTATACTTCACCCGATAAAGTAACACTAAAATATTTTGTATCAACTGACTGTAACTAGGTTTGTAATAACAATCTTTTATTACCTATTTGTTTCTGAGCTCAGGAAACTTCAATTATTAAAGAAGTTACTTAAATTTACGGAATTTATATATCCAATTTAGGAAAAGTATCGTTTTAAGAATTGCCCACAGTTTCAAGCTTTATTTATATGTGTATTTAAAATTGCTCTTACCATAATAAATTACCTACTTTAGCGAATTGATTGTAATATCATTGAGTTTAACACTTTGTTGTAGTTTACATAATCTCATTTGAACCATAAATCAGTAATTGGTACTGAATAATAGATACATTTAAAAGCTTTCTTTTTGTGTTGCAGAGGCGTGGGGCGCGGCGCGTGGCGGCGGCGCGGGCGCGGGCGGCGCCATGACGCGGCGCCCGCCACCATGACGCTGCCGCCGCCCGCGCGCCCCGCGCACCCCGCCGCGCACCGCGCAATGCGCTATTACCGCATCTGGATCTACGCGTGCAACGGCGCGCTGCTGCTGGGGGCGCTGGCTTTCTGCGCGGCGGCGGGCCGCGCACTATCAGACTACAGGCGTGCACTAGTGCCGGGTCTTGGTGCGGCACAGCCTGGCTTCCTATACGGGTACGCAGCCCTGCCTGCGCAAGCTGGTCTCCTGCAACTTCTGGGTTGCCTTGCAGCACTGCGCCTTTCCGAGCGCATGCTGAACGCCTATTGGCTCGCTTTATTAGCCCTTCTTGTTGGTGACGCCGCTATCGGAGTCTATTGGGCATTTCGCTTCGAACGGGTCTGCCGAGAATTACGACCCCAGCTTCGCATCCGACTAGCTAAGGATTACGATACTGATTTGGATTTCTCTGAAGCTTGGGATCGACTACAGAGGGAACAACGTTGTTGCGGCGTGACTGGTCCAGCCGATTTCGCGGCCTTTAACCGTACGACTCTACCACCGAGTTGCTGCCGTATCCCAGCTCACACATCTGCTGTGACGCCAGCGTTGCTCGCTACCACCTCAGCCTCTTCTCCTGTGCCCTTTACATCTGTGCATTGCGCTCCACATACCGCTGCTTGTGCGGAGCGCCTATTAGTTTGGCTACGGCGGACAGCTGACGCATTATTTGTGCTAGGATATTGCGTGATAGCATTTTTAAAGTTGTGCTTCCTCGGAATCCTCCGATACGAAATAAAGGAGATGATTCAAAAAATTAGAATATTACGTAGCGAAATGGGTGCAGGAGAACTGCTGGAAGGCAGCCCTATTCACGGCGGACCACTGTCGCAAACTGTGATAGTCAATGCTGTGAATGCGAATGGTGGTGTACGCACACATGGTGGTAGTCCCGAGCGGGCGGGTGAGCGTGAAGCGTTATTGGGGCGAGCGTCGGAGGCATGTTCAAGACGCGGTACTCACGATGAGCCTCTCGGACCAAAGACTGTCAACGGCAACAACAACTGTGAGATGCGAGAGTTGGCACGAGGCGAATACAGGCCGCTAGCGGTTGACAGTGCTGCGACTAGGATCTGACTAAGATGTTACCTGGAGCGGTTGTTCGGGCGGCGCTGGCGGTCGTTCCCGGCCGCCGGATTTGAGTCAGAGCTACCGGTGACGAGGGGTGCACCCGTGTGCATACGTCGCACGGGCGCGCGTGTCCGCCTAGATCACCGACGCCACACCCGCTCCGAATTCGAGCTATAAGTCTACGATGCGATCCGCTAAATCACAAAGAAGTTGTGTTTATACCAGCTGTCAATTCCGAATGCCGTTTGGCAATTTGACTGTTATATTTATTTATAGTGGTAGTTCAGACTGTACTGACAAAAAGCATTAGTGCTAGAGTGATGTAAAAGAAGAATGTTTTGAATTGTGAGATGAAAAATAGACGTGAAGTGTGTAGTGTGCATAATTTAGACAATGTGCAATTCCACGAGCATAGCTTGTGTTTAGTTCCTACGCTTGGCAGTTAAAAAGTTACTTTATTAATAGGACAAAGTTTATTTAAATTTTGTGTTATGATGCCAAACAGGGAGACGGCATAGACGTTAAAGAGTCAGATAAGTGAGGTAATGCAGGTGCGAAAATGGACTATATTACGGTGAAATACCACCAATAAGAGGTTCTTCAACGCCCCGTGTATCTAAAAGCGGTGGCTATTATCATGTAGGACCGTAATAACAATTTATTGAATGTTAACTATATTATTTTAGCAGTAAGTTCAAGCAGCTTTTTATTGAAATACCAATAGACTTATGGACATACCAATATACGTAAGGACGATCAAATAGCCTATGTACGAAATTAATTACATTTGCGTAATAAGTGCTTAAATAGTCTCCTTATCTGATCATATCCCGACATTTATTCAGATTTCTATTTTCTGTGTTGAAATATTTAGATTCCCACTATCTTGATTGATTTAGTTAGACATCTATTGACTGTGCACACTTACTCCACTCAGATTTAATAGATATAGTTTTAGAAGTTCCATCAATTTACTATAAAAAAAAATCATTGAATCCTTTAAAAAATCCCCCAAGTTCCTGAAGCTCTAAATGATTTAGTTACAGAAGTTAAATGAACGATGATGGTTCTAAGTATGTTATTTTAGAATTAGTAAATAAATATAAACGGATTCGGTAAATGTAAATAATATTATAAAATTTGTATATGTGTAGTAAGCGAGTAACTGCATGGACAGACGAACAAAAATAAATAGTACTGATATGAGCTTATCGACGTAGTGCCTACAATTATATGCTTGTAACAATATAACGCAAACGAATACATATTTCGTTTAAATGCAGATGAATTTAAATGTTTCGTATAGACACTTTATCATTGGATACATGCGTTTTGATCGAGAGAATAGTATCTTTAGCAAGAAAATTAATGAGTGCGAAACGATTTCTTATAGTTTATTTACACTGGGCGATGGCAGCATACGAAATACGAGTGACTCCTGCGCGTTCATCTCATTGGTCAGTAAATATGACCGACTAAAAATTAAAGCGATGAACAGAAATCATCCGAACACCGGAGCTGATGTCATTGACCAAAGTAAATAGTCTAATATATATACACTCCATTTTTGAAGCATGTCACACCGTATATTGTACCGATATCCACATAGCGCCATCTACCTCCAAGAATGGAACAGATCCAATACAAAAATTTAAGATTTGTGCTGGATACGAATTAGTTTGGCATTCAATGATTTTTCATACTAAAGGTAATAAGTATTGCTATACTAGATAGACAGAGATTTAGCAATGGGGTTAGATTGCGCCCGATATTACTATGGAATGTAGGTGAATATTAATGGCTGTGTGAAGTAATGGTAAACCAATGTAAGCGTATGTTGAGTGCGCAGTTTATAAGAACAGTGGTTCAATGAAAGATAATTATACTTGCTGTACGATCAATTTAATGTTTGAATACCTACATACATATTTGTACTTAATACGAAGTAACTTTATAGAATATATTGTAATAACGTTTATTATGTTCGCTTAGAGTAGGTATAATATTTTGTGAATTTATGCAGAAAGATAGTTTTTTAATATTGTTGTCACATGAATGTACCAATCTTATTGAAACATTTGTACCTATATTCGGAAAGTTGAATAATTTGTAGTTAGGATCCAATCTAAATCCTGAATTTCTTCCAAAAAAAAAATGACGGTAAAATAACATGTGCCTTGGCTTATAAAAATCGTATAACTGATGTTATGTTTATTGTAAACTAAACGATATAAAATAAAAATATTACTACTCGTCTCTAATGTGCTACCTGATCCTTCAGATAATTAATTTGATCTTAACCTTAATCTATGGTATTAAAAACCTTCCTTACTCGACAAGGAGGTTTATTAAAACTTTATGTCTAGTATGTTTTGGAAGTACACTACAATAATCTGTGTCTTCTCGTACGTAGTTTCTGCAATTATTATGACGAATGGTCTATCAAACTTTTGGCACAGTTTTTGGCGAAACTTCGTCATAAAGTGAGCGTATCTACGAGAATTACGGTCATAGTACCGACGATGTTAGATCTCGAAAGTTTCTAATGTTCCACTGTCAATATTAGTTTTATGTGTTCATTGTTACGTGTGGTTATTACTGTAGTAGAGTTGTTACAACTTTCCGAAGGTACGCACTAGGCGACTGAGAGCTAATACTATCATAATAAATGCATTAAATAAAGAGTTTGTTAAAACTTTGGTGTTTTTATTTTGCGATATTTATGTTTTAGCTTTACTTGCAAGTACATTGACCAAAAATTATAACAAAACACTCATATTTTGTTGGGAACAAACGACTCAAACTAATTTTGATTTTTACTCTGTTAGAAAAAAATTATAAATCTACGTTTAAAATTATGTTGTAATCCATTAATTTTAATTGCGTCGTTTAATCATGATATAATTTACATCTGGACTTAATAATTGCCAGACCTTTTAAAATTAAACGAATCATGTTAAAAAGTCGTATTATTTTCCAGAAATAAATTATATAAACATACATCAGAAAGCAAATGCCTATCATCTAACTAAATGATAACGTATATACATTTTTCACATACTTACCTCAACGTTTTTTTCTGTTACTCTATATGTTCTGTCCATATTCGCGCCTCCGATCACTAATACATCGCCCTGTGTGTCCTCAGGTTTTCTAAAGAAAGGCCAGTCTTCACAATTATCGATTTCCCTGTTCCTCGTCGCAGACGAAGTATGAAAATGTCGTCGGCTATTGGCGGAGCTCGAACCGAGGAATCCAATATTGCCACCATTCGAATTGTTGACATTCTTCAGTTTTTTGAATTCGACTGCAATGTCTGCGCCGACTTTCGCATTGTTCTTTATGAGGGCGATATCTGAGAATCGTTCAGGAATACGATAAAATTGTGGTAATTATGTTCGCGACTTTAATTTCGTGGCAGCAACTGCATGTGATTAAGCAATTTTATGTTCCCATTATGAGGAGGTGTAAGGTATCTGAGATCTCAGCAATTTGGTTCGGTCGAATTAGGAAAACTTGTAAGGTATTTATTTCTTTTTATAAATACAATTTGTAACATTCATTAATCATTTTCTTTCAATGCAGCACATACGCATACTTTTTGATTTTGAACTTATTTTTTGATTTTAACAGTTTTTGATTTTGAACTTATTTTAATTAGTTTTTGAAGTTTTGCTAAGTCAGGTTTCTAAGATATAAACTATCAAAGTCAATTGTTTATGCCAAATTACAAATTTAAAAGCAAATTTCTTGGAAACGTGAAGTTTTGGATGATTTTGATTAACATAATTTATTATATTACATATGGAAAATAGGGAATCAAAAGAAAATTTTAAAAGTTAGAAGTTATACTTACAGAATTTTCGTACTAAAATTCTCGTAATTTTGACCACACCAATTAATACATATCTTAAAAACTTTGAATTCCGTTCTATCAAAATTCGCTTCAAACAACAGCATTTAAACACTTATTTTAAGACATTTAACATCTTGAAACTTAGTTTCAATGTAAATTTTGTAAAGTTATTTTGTCGTATATGTATGAATTATTATGCATCTTATTTAGTAACAATTATTTGATGAAAAGGATACTGGCTCGAAGAGAAGCACCACTGGTAACTTTTGCAACTGCCGCTAATACGAAAGGTGTTATTTCTTTGCCTTTGATTCCTTTCTCTTTGGCTTCTACCAAAGCCCCATCAATCGCCTTTTCTATAACTGATTCTGAAATGCGACAGTAAATATTAAAATTAATAAAGTCCATTGTGTTTACTAGTTAATATATTTTTACAGTTTATATATTTTGGCATCTTTATATTTTAATTTTTTATCTTTATAATTATTTATATTATACAACGAGTTAACGCATTATTTCAATAAAAAATGAAATTTTGTATATACTACAAAGATAAAATTAAATTTTATTACTATCGTTTAACATTTTACCATATAATTTAGAGAGACACGTGGATGTGGTTACGTGAGATTACTGAAAATCAACGTATTCTCGTCAGTACGAAATAGAATAGTTCAAATATAATAAATTTTATGGATATGGATATTTAAAAAATCACAAAATGTATAATGTATTGAAAACCTATAACTTTTAGACATGACAAAAGCGGACGAATGAGTTGGTTTTTAGCTATTCTATACCATCTTGATAGGAACATGTCAAGTTTCCAGTAATTCTTTATAGTTAGTGATATTTATTTTCTAACTTACAAGAAGAGAAAAGCATAAATTAGTCATATGTAGTAAATATACCCAAAATGTCTAAATATAATAAAAACTGTTTAGCAATTTGCGTGCTAATAATATATAATAAGATGATGCCTACTGAAATAAAGGACACAAATTTAATAAAAAGAGTTTTAAATGGTCGATCGAGAATATGTTTTATACAGTTATGGAATTAATGGAAATGGAATTAATTGCAGATACTGACATAAATGTATGATATATTTTAATTGTGATGTCATTTTATTTTTTAATTTAATTTTGATTAATAATAATTGGGATTCTATCCTGATTATTGTTTGACTTACATTTGTTACTTGACTTACATGTGTAACTTTTGTACGAATTTGCATGTTTATTTAATATGGTAGAACATGAGAAAGTGTTTTGTGGAAATAAACGATTATTATTATTATTATTATAGAGCTACTATACTAGAGTAAGGTAAGCCTCGAGACGCTACTAGTAAACTAGTAAAAGAGAGACTATTGCGCTAATTCATCTGTATGATTTTAATTTACTACATATTTATAACATTGCTTGATATAATCTCGAATATTGAAATCTTCTCTTCATCTTGTTAAATTTCCACTTTTAGGCAGTATGTCTACTTTTTCTAGTATATAACTACTTTAGTACAGTAGTTCTTTTATATTTAAACGCTAAAATAATTATACCATCCATGGCATGTTGCTCAGGAACCGGCACAGCTATAACGATGCCCGATTCTAGTTTGACTGTATGTGACGCGTTAAGAATTTGCGCCGCTTGTTCTGCTGTCTCTACGTGATATGGCGCTCGATATCCTGATCGTACCGTGTAGAAAGCTGGAAAGTCTGCTGTCTTACCAAATGCACATACGCATACACCTTGAGTTTCCTACAAAAAATACTTATTATCAGTTTAGTTAGTTGAAATATATCATTTATAGATCTCGACAGCGGTTGAGCAAATTTTTGCAAGGGCCGGTCATAGGATAGATAATCAAAAATTTACTATTTTGAACTCCTTAGTGCTTCGGAATGCACAGTAAGCCGTTGGCTGTATTTTTTGTCGTTTAAGCACTAACGGATTCACGCTGTACTCGTGTGGTTGGTCACGGTCTATTCTCCCTATTTGATTGCATAATGTGGAAATTCCCCAGCAGTTGGGATATTAATAGACTGATAATGATGAGATGAATATATAAAAATGAAAGTTAATGCAAGAGAGATAGTAATTACCGAAGCCCAGGAACATACTACTACAACTACGCAATTTATTAAAAATTGCAGATACGTACAAGAAATTAAAAATAAAAAAACTAAAGAATTACAAAGAGTTTTTAATTGTGGTAGTTGCACCAGTGTGCCATGCAATAATTTCTTATTTTCGCATTTCTATCTGTCCTCTAATTCTGCGACAGAACTGTTGATGCTGTGTTCGCTCTATTCTTAATAGAATGGCGAAGAAGATGTAATCATTTTGAAGATTGTGAATCTAGATTCTTATTTATATTCTTGGATAATTTAAAATGTCTCGGTAATATATACAAGATAATTAAAAAAGTAAAAATGAGAATTTAATTAGTGTTGATATCAAATCAAGAGATAGTGTTAATATATTTTTTCTTACCAAATACTCTAGCGTTCTGTCAATGTCTAGAATAGATTTCACGCCGCTGCACACTACCAAAGTTTTGCTCCTGCCAAGTTCATTCAAGTCGGCGGATATGTCTAAAGTATTTTCACCTTCGCGATGAACGCCACCTGCAATAAATGGTATATACAATACCTAAAACAATTTTAGGAGACGATTTAAATTTATTTTAGCCGTTAGTGTATGTTTCTGGTCTTGCCTTAAATGTAAGGAGGTCATTGGAAAACTTACGATAAATAGTCATAAAAAATAAACAACGTTAAAGACATTTCGTAGATCCTAAATTAAGTAGCTTAAGCATATGCATTACAGAAATCTAATGCAATGAAAGGTAGCACAATCATCAGAGCGGAGACCAATATGCATAATTTCAAAATGAAAATTTTTGGTGCTATATACAGAATGTTGTTAAAATATCAGAAAGAGTAATTTTAATATGTTATCAGGTGATACCTAAAACTTTGATCAATCTTATATCGTTTACATAATATTTGCAAAGTACCTAATTATTATTTGAATAACATTATTCTCATATGATTCTGCAACTGTATCTTGATTCTTAAAATTTACTTATAACGTCCTCAACAGGCTGATCGAAGTGCTTTTTAAATACGTCACAAATCTTGTAAAAAGCAAATATAACAAAACACTATTTACTGACTTAGATTAGTTTAGCGGATCCCATTTCAACGTTGTCACTAAATAGAGTGTATTAAAACCACTTCAAAGTGAGCCTCGTAATGAAACTCGTTTAGAGTTTTGGGATATGAATCCGATTAAAGCTTAATCCTTCGCATGTATTCTAACTATTTTATATAACATCTGGGATTGGCTTTGAATTTTAAGTTGATCAATATATTTTCTTTTTTGTAAAGTCCTTTTTACAGAGTGGAATCATTTGATTTTTTTTTAATTCTTAAATAATATAAAATTAAATATTCGTTATATTTCTCAGAAAATATGTAATTATTTATCAGTACTTATATACTTATATAAATAACATCAAAATTTCCATAAGATTTGGACCTATTGGAAATACCAAGGAGAATTTTGAACTATTTTTCAGGTCTTATTTAATATATTTGAACGTAACCACTTGTTTTTACGAAGACATTACTATAATCTTTTTAAGAGAGACATGCATTTGATACAGCTACCAACAGGTGCCAATTTCCAGTTATTCGACAGAAAAAGACGTCAATCGTAATACCTTAAACCAAGACGAGTAAAATTTACATTGAAGGCGTTCATACGCTTTCATGAATATGAAATAATATAAGTGACGAGACGGCTGTGGGTCGTCTCATCTGCATAATATCATTGTCTGTGGATAGAGCTGATTGACATCTATTGTAGTTGAGATGCAGTTTAGTTACTAACATACATACAATATTTGTAAAATATCAGAGGCCATTGTGATAAGCTGTTATAATGCGGCTCTGTAATATTGCAATTCCATATTTGAGTTATAATCTTGTTCTACTGTAAGTATATATCTAATATTTTAGGAGTATTTAATGCAACATCATTAGATATATTGATTTGCACATATTTGGAGTAAAATTTAACATAGGTATCTCTGTATTTCAAATGAGTGCTTTAGTAGCTTACTATCTTAATTTTCATTTTACGATTCCAATACCAGTGAGATACCTATAGATAAAGCACGTAAATCCAATAAGCTCCACGCCGGGGGCTAAGTAAAACTCGTGTCCGAAGCCGAAACACGTCGCACCGCTTAGCGATTGGCACGGTCCCGTTAGAAAATTGAATTTCGCCGTAGGTAATGAGATTTGTTGGCAAGGATTATGTAAAGGTGACGTATCGCGAATCGAGGAGCAGTTGTTAATTGCGTATCACGGTGTACATTCCACGTCGGACGGCGCTGCCTGTTCATAGGGTTAGGACTACTACATAAATACCTAGTATTTATCTGTGTCATTTGTACTTTTTTAGCTGACATACTGTTTAAGTGTAGACATTATGGTTCATTTATAACATTTGATTGCGATATGATATTATTTGTTTCTCATAAATTTAGTTTCAATATGAAAGACATAATGCGAATCAGTGGCATATTTAAAATTATTTATATCTATGCTGAATGGAGAAACTTGATATGCTCGATGGCGCTAAACACTTAACACGTTAGGTTTGCGATGTGGAAGTTAAGCAAGTTTCGTGAAGTCTTGGGATGGGTGATCAATTTATTATGTCGAGCTTCTCCGTCCTTCGAAAAAAGTACATTAAGTTTTGTTGGTGGTCTGTTTTGCTTCTGCAGTCATGAACAGCTACGAAAGGGATGAGTAATGGCTTATTCTCTCTATTCGATTATATCTCTAGGAAAGGCCTATAACCTAGTACTGGGGATATCGATAGGCTGATGATGATGAATAGGCTGAAAAGTTAAATTCGCATTAGAGAACAAAATTTGGTGTCAAAGGTTATGTAAAGGTGATGGTTCGCAAATCGAGCGGCAGTTGTTAATTACGCATCACGACGTGCGTTTGACGCCAGGCGGCGCTGCCTCCTTGTAGGGTTGTACTCATCAGTATCAACTTTTTGCTGCCAACCTGTTGTTTAATTGCTGATATTATCGCTTTACAATAGTGATTGAAGCCATTATTATGAGATGATTAATCGGTTGTCTATCAGACGTACAGTATTATAGTAATTTTCTGGAATTTTCAATAAAAACGTAGGAGAGTCGGGAACACTTGACCAGCGGCTGTACCGCGTAATAATGCTCGGATTGATCTGTCAAAATGAAACCGAGTTGATCTGTCAGCCTAGCAGATAATTTAGGGCTTCTATTTGACAGATAAATCAGTATATAAATATATAAATAGATATACCTACTTATTGTGGAGTTTTTCTCCCACTTGGCTAATTCTCCGGATTTCTCCTAATGCAAAGTAATCTTAAAAATCAAGCATTACTAATCCTTTTCTTTTATATTGTTTTAAGAACGACGAAAAATAAAAGAGTAAAGCTTTCTTTATTTTCTGCTGTTTTATTTCACCGGTTTAAGCCTGGCTGTACATATTTACTTTCTGTATTCAGTTTGCTTATCAGGAAATTCATTGATATTCAAATATAGGCTCCGAATGCCGATAATTAAAGTATTGACGATACGTTAACGATAGTTGCTAGTGTGGTTATTATAGATTTTTGAATTAATAATGAAAGTGGCAGTTTTAAATACGAAATGGAAACTTTTTGTTAAATTTCTTTTGACTGGTAGTGAAATTTAGTCATGGATTCATGAATGTTTTAGTCTATGGTCTATTTTAGATACTGTTTTTTTAATAACATTCCTAACTGCCATTTATAATATACTATCTACAATCTGCGTCGTATCTTTTAAAATATACCTAGATATGAAATTAATTTCGAAAAAAGATGTTTTGATAGTGAATTTTCTACGTCATGATTGTTACTGTTTTAAACGTGAAACGGTTCACAATACACTTTCATAAATAAAAAATTACAACATTAAATTTGAACACTATAACACCATTTATTATTTACATTAAAAACTGATGGAACCCTGACGTTCCACCTTAAATAAAAATTTTCATGTTTCTTTTTTTTTCGGAGCGCAATTTTTCCGTCGGCGAGTTTAAGTTTTACATTCTATAAATTGTGATTCGTTCAACCATCGCGTGTTCATTTAAAATTTATTGTTTTTCCTTGCAGGCTTCATGATTTCACGTCGTTAAAATTTTGCAGTATTATAAACAGTTAAAATGTCGGAATTGGATTTTGGTTATTGAATCAGTCAGAAGCGTATCGCGTGTAAATTTAACAAAATGATTCAATGTTTCTCTATCGTTCTTGTATGTGTATAGTAAACTAATATCCCCATATTTCATATGTTTGTTTACCTTTAAAAAGAAAACGAAGCAGTTAATTTGAAATTTTAAGGGTCTCCAATATGTGTTGCCTAGTTTGCTTAATTAATTGGAACTAAGATTATTTACAGTCAAAGTTCGTTGACATATCTAGTCTTTAAAAAGGTTAAAAATATTAGGTTTGATATATTTTATATTATAATAAACTTAACTCTTAGCTATAATCATTACAATTTGTTTTCTTAAATTGCTAGTTTGAGTGATAAAATATACTCAGACAAAAATTAATTCCAAGAAGGTCCTAATAGTCGATGTTTTAATGGGCCCTTCTAAGATTCACGGATCTTGAATAGAGTCAATCATTTTTATGACTTTTTTTTATGTTTAACGAGTGCCTATCCAGGCAAGAAGAAAAATGAAGCGAAGTGTTTTTGAAGAACGCAAGCACGTTCCTTTCAAATCACCGTTTTATGTCTAAATGCTAAATATTTAAGTATGTAGGTATATCATCATGATATAATTCATTAATTTTGCATTCATGTCGTTAGGAAAAAATGCCGGTTTTAAAGAAATTTAAGAAAACAGGTGTCATTGACAATTCCAACAATGGATTTCCACCTAACCTCCCAAATTTCTGGCCTAAAATTTGGAAAAAAATCTAAATCTATATCAATGATATTACAATAAAAAAGGGCAGATAGATCATGTCAGTAAAAAGACTTCAATCAACAGTTCAACTTAAAAATGTTGATGTCTTACATTACTCTATTATTTCTCCTTGTCGTTACTGTATTTATTATTTGGCCGTGTATAAATAATGGAGCTTTTCAAGTGATAAAATAAAGCTGACACTGATATATAATATGTACACGAGAGCTTCGATCGAAATCGAAATCGGAGTACTTTTTAGCTTTGGAATTAGGTTTCGATGCTCCGATTTAAACCCCGGAGTTTCGGGTTTTCAGTATCTTATTGATTTTCAAATAAATGTAAGGTAGAGGCTAGGCACTAAACTCGAATTGTCCGTTCTGTTACTTATATGACCTTGGACGGATGTCTTTCACAATTTGTAACCAGAGTATTGTCTCTTTCTTTTTATGACACATTATTTATTTTTATGATTAAAACGTAAATCAATTAAAATGTATACTTACGAATGAAATGTGACCCTTGATCTTTAGTAAATTTACTTGTGTAGTTTCTGCAGTTTGGCATAACACAGGATGGCATTTTAAAAATGAATATCGTACATAAATGCACTCGCAATCAACGCTTTCGCCAGACAGTGCTCAGGTATGATAATTAGCAAAGTTTTAAGGTGTCACTTTTTGAATACAATAAAGCTATTTACCCTTTTTTTATTGTTCTATAAATGTATATTCTTTTACATGAAAACTTATAAGATGTCTCTATAATTTTTCACTTTCGTATTTTTTTATAGATTATCCCGAAGTGGTAAAATGTGTGCTTTTTGTCTAACTTTAAAACAAAAAATCCAATAAATATGCTGGCGTAGATGTCGGTGAATATAATATTAACGAAAATTCCTTTTTATATGTAATACCTATAATTGTAACCTATAATCAGCAGAAGTGAGATACTGCACCTATTTGAAAACCGATCAAAATAACTCTGTCATTTACACAAACACTTTAAAAAATGAAATATTTATTGCTAATCCATACTTGTTGCTACGTAACTCTTCATGGTTATGGGAAAACATGATTTGCACTTGCACTTGGCCAACTTTTATACAGTGTTTTCAACCACTCACCGAGTCCTCCTGTTGCGAATATCGGTATGTCAGCCAGTTCCGCGGCTATGATGGTGCCGGCTACGGTTGTGGCGCCGTCCAATTTAGCGGCGAGAATTGGCGCTAGATCTCGACGAGAAGCTTTTATTACTCCACGAGCTTGCGCCAGATTACGTAACTGATTTTCGGTTAGACCAATAGTCAATTGACCTTTTATGATGGCTATTATTGCCGGAGTTGCACCCTGTATTAGTAAATATAAGTTAATAATTGGATACTAATATCGAAGTGAGCATTTTTTACTACACCCTTCATGTTTATATGTGGATAAGATTTTTCAATTAAAATCGATACTTATTTTGATAAACTATATGTATCCATGAAAAAATTATAATAAGTGCACAAATTTGAATATTATGATCGTTACTGTTAATAATATTTACGTTTTTCTTCTCTTTCTTTCTTAATGTTGATGTTGTTGGTCAACATCGGAAATAAAGAAGAAAAAAGATGTGTATGAACACGTTGCTGCTTATGAAATCCCTATTGTGCTCTGTGGATGATGGTCAGGCTTGTGATTATTGGTGGATTGAATGAGGGTATCCTCCAATCCGCATTAGGCTAGCGTGGAAGGTCATAAGCCCATCCTCTTTAACCATCCATAATGCCTGAGCCCCTTCAGTGTGGACATAAAAGGGCTGGTGATAATTCTTGAATTATTCTGATTTAATCTTCTGCTTAGGTACATCAGTGAGCCACATCAGTTGTATCTTACACTGTACATGGTAGCAATTTCGTTGACAAAATATTTAAAACAACGTTATGTTAGATTCGTCTTTGGAACTGCATGTAAACATTAATTAGGTAGTAGATATTATACTCGTAACATCCAAATCTTCAACGAAGAACAAAGTTTTCTCAGTAAAATTTTAATTGCAGTTATATTATTCAGCTTTACTCACTCTATCCCTGATAATATTTTCAACTTCCATAGCAGTTTCTAAATTCTTGGGGTATGGCATGCCGTGAGTAATTATCGTTGATTCTAAAGCCACTATTGGCTTGTTACTGGATTTCGCTTCAAGAACTTCTTCGGAGAACACAAGAGGCGATTGAACAGATCCCCAGAACCGATTGAAGGTCCACGCTGGGCGTAAACCCTTATTAATGGTCTTCAATGAATACGCCATCTGGGGAAAAGAAAAAAGTAATAAAATATATTGCTCACATGCTATATGGGTCGTTATCGATTGGGTATGAGGGTGTGAGTGTCCTGGTGACTCAGTCACGGTTTCCCGGGTCTCATCCCCAGGAGAAGCTGTTCCTTTCGGCCAATATAAATAAACCACTAATTTGCAGTAAATTTGTTAATTCTAGAGTAGAAAAAAGTATACAGGAAGTACATCGTGAAATATTGATAGTTGGGTTTGATACGAATTCGATCCAGTCTCGAAAATTTATAAATAACTAGTTATCTGCCAGTGTTTTCGCTCGCGTGGTCTCGAAGTCTCGTAGAAACTTTTAGTGGAATAAAAAGTAGGCAATATGTTAATTCAATTATTATATTTGATCTATTTTCACATTAATAATGCTTTACTGAAAAAAATCTTAATGAAAAAATCCACTTGGTTCCTGGCACCCTGAGATAGGACTCGAACCCTCATTAGGAATGTTAATTCAAGTTTAAAATTATTCACAACCCTACCAAATTTCATCAAAAACCGTATAGTAGTTTTATTGTGAAAGAGCAAAAAATATACTTTCTTCATGACATTAGTAGGATAAAAAGATACGTTCATACTAATGGACTTAAATAGAGCCTAGAAGTAAACGTGGAGCAGAGCAGTATCGTAACATAGAGGTTCAATCAAATAAAACCTATATCAAAAAGTAATAAAAAAATAATAATTGTAGTAGCTCTATGCTATAGCAGCGCTGTATATGTCGATGTCCAGTTCAAGGCAAGAGATTTTTTAACAGAATAACATAGAAAATAAAAACAAGTCAAAAATTAGAAGATTTATTTAAAACAAGCTTTTATGTAGTATATTGTATTTTACATGTTAAGCCCTTTCAGTTGATACCCATATTTAGTGGATTGTTCAGAAATACGTACCTACATCTCCATTTTGTTACCGCGGTTATTTTGGATTAAAATTATTATAACATCAAGAATTCTAAAAGCCGCACTTTAAACTGACTAGACTACCTAATTTGATTTTCGAAACTTCTAGTGATAAACTATCCTATTAATTAAATCTTATTGTAGAACTGTAGAATGAGCAAGCTTTCGATTAAAAATATTATTAACAACAGTTATTAAAAATTATTTTTTCATTTTCTTGTTGGTCCTGAAATCTCGTATAAAGAAATTAAACTAGTCCACCCGACGGAATTTACAAAGTTTACATGGTCACCTTTCAGTTGAGCAATTTCCTTATCAAGATAAAACAAATGAGCTCAAAGTCGATAGTATTGCTTCGTTTAATTACAAAGATCCTTGCTCAGAACTGATCAATTCTCCATTGGTATACATTTAATTATATATAATTGCATTGTCATCAAAACTAAAGGTATGTATTTCAAATTGCATCTCAAGCGGAGTCTGGGAAGTTAAACAAAGCTCGCAAGATTTGAAAATAAAAATACTAATTAGCGTCGGGACGAGTGAAACTAAATTAACGTTTGTAAAAACAACGTACGTTTTCATATATTGTTAGCACAATCAAATTAATCATATTTGGTATGAATAAAATGAATATTTTTTATAAAGAATTTTTATTTTATTTAATACTAGCTTTTGCCCGCGACTTCGTCCGCGTAGTATAGTTACTTTGGGCAGTACATATTTTCCAAAAACGCTGTTGTTTTTCGAGCCGATGATAAAATTACCTTGATATTAAAGTTCGAAGATACTACAACAGAAAAACCAACAAATATCCAATGTTTCAGCACTTTATCTTAGAGCTTTACACATAACTTTAAACATTAGAGATATTAATCCAATCCAATCCAATTTGAAATACAGATGGAAATAATAGTGCTGAATATTTACACAGGACTTAATCGAAAACGTAACCTACGCAAAATTCTTTGTAAGAAACGTTAACGCAGATTATTGTAGAATAAACGCCATCGAGTATAGCAAAGCTTAAATTTCTTACTACATTTTATTTTAAAACTCAATCTTGAGCAAAACAGTGTGGTGTGGAATACTTAATAGTATAGTTCTATCTAGTATAGTTTAAAATATATAAAAATATATTTTCTTTCGTAAACTAAATTACTTCAATTTAAACATTTTCAAGAAAACAAAATATAACATTGTTTTCAGGACCTTAAACTACTCAAATACTCATTTTCATCTATCCAAAAACAAAAAAGTTTCATAGAAATGTTTCACCCCTTTTAACTTTCATCAAGGTAGAATTTCCAACAATTCGTTCATAGTACCTAACCAATAAGACGAATGTACCCTCCGCATTTCAAATCTCTATGACCAGCGTTTTAGGCTCCAATATATTTTTATCATCTTCTGGAATTTAGGCCCTGTTTCCATCCTGTCGTTATCATAACCTGCGACATATCCATCAAACTTTAGAAATAGCCTTTGCTGCTGCATTTTCACACTGCACTCCTATATTATATCACTAAATCAATTAATTGTTTTCAGTTTGCTTATTCATCCTACTTTCTTTAATTTGATAAAACCTAAAAAATAAAATAAATAATGCATCACAAAAACAATGCGATATCAGCGCCTCTTACTGAGACTTATGTTACTATTTTACGATACGATTATTTACTCTTGGCCACATCATGGAGAAGTCATACTATCAGCCGCCCATATCGTTAAAGCAAATCATTAATTGATCTGGACCGGTCACATCATGATGTGGACAGCAAGATTTTTCCATTGCATGAAATACAAACAGTTCATAAAATGACTGGCCTGGCTACGATCTAAGGTGCCAACATAATATGAATGAACAAACTGAGACTTTGAAACGAAAAACACAAATTTTTGCAATTACTTTATTCTAAACTTAGAGCAATAATTTTATGTTTTATTTAATTTAAAGCCTGCGCAAAATTATTTGATCAAAATAATAGCGCCATTTAGAATATACTCGCCATCAGCTGGCTGAAAAGTTATTCTAGTTAAATTTCCTAGGCAAAAAATCTGCGATTTAAAATTCATTTAACGCCATCTAATGTAGTTTATATAAAGGTATACTCGTATAATATAAAAATATTTTTTCTTTCGTAAACAAAATTACTTGAATTCGAACATTTTTATCCATTAAAATTTCAAAAATGTAATATTTATTTAAATACTAATTTTCATCGCTATACAATAAAACATTTTGTCAATAATATTAGGTAAATTTATTACAATGACAAATCAGATTGTAAACAATGGTTGCTATGGTAACATTTTGATTCCCCATAAAATCTTTCACTCCCATTTTTATCCCTTTTAATGCTAGTTTTCGGGATAAAATATAACCTATTCCCTTCCTAGATTCATAAACAACTCAAATATCAAATTTTCATCGACATTGGTCCATAAACAAAGAAGTTTCATACATACTTTATCACCCTTTTTGACCCCCTTCGGGATGGATTTTCCAAAAAACCGTTCTTAGTACACCTCTACGTATGAAGGGAAATGTTCCCTCAAAATTTCAAGTTTCTACGACCAGCGGTTTAGGCTGTGCGTTGTCTGTCAGTCAGTAAGTCAGGACATGTCCTTTTATATATGTATAGATATTATAAAATCTACTCATTTCTATTTATAAAAAAAGCTATTCATTATATGATTTTCATGTGGAGCTTATCGTCTGTAGTTACTTTTATATTCAAATATCCTACACAAGTCATTTTATTACCAGACTGGTGTTCTTAGGTTGAAGAGTATTTGTGATATGACAATATTTCTTTTTGGCTGTAATTAGGGCCGGTCCATCCATATAGGAAAAACTAGGAAAACTAGCCTACGACGCTCGTATTTGAGGAGCGAGCATGGCATGGCAAATATATTAAGTTTGTTCTAATTTTATTTGTATGAATCTAGAAAATGTACTTTAAAATGACTTGTTTGAAAATGAGTCTATGTGCGCTGTATTCAATAGTGCGAAATTTTCATACCAAGGATATTATTTTGTCATTGTCAAAATAAACTTTTTAATCGGTGTACTTATTAAGTACTTCAATTTGTTGACTTGGGTCTATGGGTGTCGTTCTAATGTTTTGCCTAGGGCGCCAAGTTTCATTGAGCCGGCGTTGGCTGTAATCAATCATAAGAGGAATCGGTGCTGGATGCCAGCCGTTAATGTACCACGCTACATTATGAGGTCACGCCACTGACCTCGCAAACTGGGAGGAATAGTAATACCTACATTTTTTGTTGAAATAACAATACTATTTAAATAATCTAGTAACTTTTAAAGAAATCCATCTTCTTTATAAATAAGTTATAGGTAATTTTGTAAATATAATATTATTTAATAACGATTTTGTTATTTATTATATTATTTTCTTAAATCAAATCAAATCATTGAAATCAAAGTTACACTCGGCAAGTCTTTTACAAAAAGCTTTTCTAATTAAATACAAAGGTCTAAATCATGCAGGACAAATCATTATAGGAATTTCAAATAAATTAAGTATTTTAACAATGTCAAGTTAGTTTTTAAACTAAATATTTATAAGGACACAGTTTGATGTTGTAAAAACAATTACATAATAATAAAATTCGAATGTCATTTTACTGTCAAGCTCAAAAATAATTAGTATAGAATAGGTATACAAGATGTTAAAACCATTATATTACACTGTCTGTGGTGTTTCTAGGGTACCAGTTCTAGGGTACTATAGTTACATCTTCGGCGTGGGCAGTGGTCTTCGGGCTGTTCCCGTGATTCGCCTCCATGGAGAGGGATATCGCTCGATTTTAGTGGGTATGTCCCTGTTATTTAACTAGCCTCATCCTGAGGCAGACCCAACTCAGGATGAGTCCCTAGCGTATCCTAGTGGCAAAATTTTTTTCTGCAGCTACCACAGCATCTACATTAATGAGAGCCGTAAAATAGCTTTTTACTACCTGATAAATTTTATAACAAATAAAGTATTTAGCACTTAAATTATAGAAAAATCCCAATGCACTAAACTATCACAACACCTATGT